GAGGGATTTTTTGGTTTTTTTGAGCCAGCATAAAACCAAGCATTTCTTTTAAGGAAGGCTGAGCCGGGACCGCTGCAGGACCATCGCTGAGCTGCAACTCAACACGAGAGCTTTTTGCCCACAGGTCAGAATCCCCCGTTGTCCCAGTCCCTGACACTGCTCTCTCACTCCCCACCACTGAACCCTGGGATTCCTGCACTGACCAAAGCGTGAGGGGAGGTGGGTTGGGTTGGGTTGGATTGGGATTTCCACACACAGCTTTTCAGGCAGCACTACTGATGCACAAGTTCCTCCCTCCCTGTATTTTCAGTCCTTGGCACGGCTGGAGTGTGACACAGCCCACTCTGCTGGGGTTCATTGGGCCATGGGAATGGGCATCAGTTTTTCTGGCATTACACAGAGATACAACGTTTTGTTCTCACATGCAAAGTCAGCAAACCAGCCCACAAGTCACCGAACTCATCCGTTGGTTTCTGTTTGTGCTTGTTGAACCCCAGCCACTCCTGGAGCTGTGCTGTCAAATGGACTTTGGTGGCACTTTTGACTCCCCCCCACCCCAAACACCAACAGCCAGGGCAGAGTTGTCACAGGCCTGCAAACCACAGCACAGAGCAGCTGCTCAGGGATTGGTCCTGCATCTCTGTTGGGAAACTGGAAACACCAGCAATTGTTTTCATTTTTTGACTTTGTTTTTGTTAAATGCATCAGAAAATAGAGGCCATAAAGAGTATCCTAGTTCTTATATATGTGTATCTTAATATTATCTATCAATATTATAAATTGCAGTATATGAATGGAATGTAACAATAGCTTACTTGATTATTACAAAGAAGAGATGTGGGGTATGGAGGTTCCCAGCTCCTGAGTGCAGGTGAAGGCCGGTGTGCTGAGGGGCTGAAGCAGGCGTGTCCAGGAGGGGGATCTGGGCTCTGTGGGCTCGCTGGAGCCTCGGGCTGGCCCGCGAGGCACCGAGGGCAGGGGATGCTCAGCTGGGTGTTCTGAGCCCCCCTCTGTGTTCTGCAGATATTTCACACGAGCCTCAGCATCCCCAGGAAAGCTGCTGTCTCTGGCCATTTCTGTTTCACTTTTGTGGTGCTTTTTTGGTTTGTTTTGTATCTGGGCACACTCTGGTGTTAAACCTGTCACTCTGGCAGAAGGAATCACATCACCATTGAGCCTTTGATAAAGGAAATCATCTTGGACACATGGGGAAATTCTTGTAAAGCTTTATCTGATTTCCAATGTATCTATTTTATTCATGTTATCTTGGAAGTTTTCTTACTCTGGGGAATGGGAATGGCTGTCTCTGTGTTCGAGTCTGGGCAGTACAAAAGAAAAATAATATCTGAAATGCTGCCGGTTTTGGGAAGACCACAGTATTCCAGGAATATTCTGTTTCTGTACAGTGCTGTTCCTCTGACAAGCCATTCACTTGGATTTGTATTTTCTTTTTGTGTTGAAAGACAGATGGGTTTAGTATTGAATAGTAAAATATTTAAAGTCTAAGATACCAGTTCCATTTTATTTGATAGAGTTCAGAATCCTTTAACTGTGAAGAGTCATCAAAGTTTGCAGCTGTGCAGGGGGTGTGGCACAGACCATGATCAGCCATCCAGACAGCAAGGTGTTCTTCAGGGAAGAACAGTCACAAGTCAACAACCAGGTCTGTTTTTAACCAAATTTTATTGTAAATTTCTTTTGTAGGACATTCTAATTATTTACAAATTATAAAATTTACAATTAAAAAAAGAAATCAGGATCATAATAATTAACTACAGCAAGTCCAGTTTTGTGAAAAAATATATTCAAAAATTAAATATCAAAAGAAAGTTAAGTTCATTATTGAAAAAAAAAACCAAAAACACCTTCCATAAATTATTTTGCAGAAATGCTCAAGACACTGACAGAGTATTTTAACACTTTGCTAATACTGGCTTTGGGTGCTTGGACTGCAGCCCTGAGGAGCTGCTGCCAGGGCACGGCCGGACCTGCCGGGGCTCCAGGGATTTGTACCTTGCAGGAACTGCAGGAGCTCAGGGAGCTCTGGGAACACGGCCGGGTGTTCAGCACCCACGGGCTGGAGGAACAGGGGCTCCAGATCCTGCTGCTGCCTCTTTCTGTGCAGAGCAAACACCAAACGGGGAGTGGAGCGAAAAAGCAGAAGCAGGACCTGCCCTGGGGTGCTGGGACAGAGGAGGCAGAGCCCCCTGAGCCCCCCTGAGGTTATTGCACCCCTGGGCTGCAGGAAACCACAGCAGCTTTGCCTGGCAGCACAGGGCCCAGGGCTGTGCCCACCCCTGCTCTGCCAGCCCGCATTGTCCTGGCACAGCTCTGCTGCCCTGCAGCCTCCTGTGCACAAAGCCACAGGAAAACCCCCCTCACCTGCTCCTAAAGCCCCCCTGCCCCAAGGGGACCGGGCAGTGCCACTGGCTCTGCTCCCAAAGTGTGCTGGACCTCCTGAAAGAGCAGCTGGAAAATGCCCAGAGCAAACCAGTGACAGGAACAGTGCCAGCAGGGTCACTGCTGCTGAACAGAGGAAAGCAGCCACAGGCTCCCACCTACAGCCAGGGCATCCCTGTCACTGCCAGCTCCAGCTGCCTCCCAGACACAGCTGGGCTCACACCTTTGACTCTTCTCCAGTACCAGAGGGAAACTGATCTTACAGACAAAATACTGTCTGTCTCCCACTCCTGTTTTTTTGTATTTTCTAAAATTTTTCTTCTGTCAGCAGCTGCCTGTTGCAGAGACCTGTTCCTACACAGACACACCTGTTCTTAAACGAACAGATGTGAGCAGCAGTTCCATGCCCCTCCCTTTGCATGGAATTACAGAAACATTTACAGCTACAGTAGAAAAAAAAAAAAAATCCAAAAGCAGACCAGAATAAACAGCATTTTCTTGTGGCAATGAGCTACAGTGGGCAGGTTCCCACCGTGATTTTTAATAGTATTTTGGAGATTAAAAAGCAGATAATGTTCTAAAATATTCCATATTGATAGTTCTTGTGATTATCCTGAAACACTAATGACTTTAGACCTTACCTGGCCTGCTCTGCTGCATTTCCTTCCACAGCCTCTGCCACATTATGCTAAAGAAGAAACAGCACATTCGACAGCTAAAACAGTAACGCAGGAGAAGTGAAGCCACAAAATCAAACCCCTTTTTAGTGCAGTGGAAATCAGATGCTGTGTCACTTACACCAACCCTCGTTTCGGTTAAAAGCGTGGTTAACTAAATTCCACTCTCCTGTACCAACAAGCCCAAACCTGTCAGTCCAGAGAGGTCACTTCTAGAATTCTTTCCTTCTCCCCTCCTCACCTCAGCAAGTACCTCCTGATGCTCAGCCCCTGGCTCTCACAAGGTCAGCTCCGTGGCCCAGGCAGCTCAGGGAGTGGTGGAGCTGGATCAGACAAGGAAATGTTCTCCTTCCACAAAGGTTAAACTGTAACTGGCACCTCAGGATCAGAAAGGCACTTGAAATATTCCTGTGGTTTGGTCTAATCTCAGAGAAAGCTCCAGCAGCCATGTCCAGCACAGCCCAGTTGGACTTACTGCCATGCCAGCTCTGGCCCAGCTGGAAGGACAGCAGCAGCTCTAGGAAGGATTTCCCAGCACTCACTCACCTGGCTTAGCCTTGCAGAGGAGCCACAGGTATGTGTCTTTTTGAGAAAACCTGATTATTCACATTATTTCTGAAATTCTCCTTCACTGGACCTGCCTCAGGGTGGTTTTTCTGCTGCCTGCAGGAGCAGGAGCCCAGCTGGCTCTGGTGTGACACAGCCCTGTCTTCTGTCTGGTTCCCTGTCCCCCTGTGCCACAGCCACTGCTGCCTCCCCTGGCCCTCAGCAGTGGGGTTTTTGCCACCAGAGCAGTTTGCTAGGAATGCTTCATGGGATGAGCTGCGGTGAGCAGCCTGTGGGGCAGTGCCAGCGGGCAGTGCCAGTGGCCTGCAGAGCTGTCCCCCCTGCCCACGGCCCCGGGCAGCGCCTGCAGCAGCTCCGTGCATGCGTGACCCCGGCTCAGATCAGGCGCTCGGTCGGGGGCATCTTGATCACGTTCCACATTTCCACTCGGGCCCCGTCCTTCTCCTGCCGGCTCGGGCTGTAGGTTCCCTGAGTCGCTCTCCTCCTCTTCATGGCAATGGCCGTGGCTATAACCAGTGCAAGGAGCAGGGCAGCGCCCGCAGCCCCGACTGCTCCCACCACGGAGGAGTGGCTGAGGTGTGCCCACACTCGCTGCTGTGGTAGAACAGGGAGTTACTCAGAGCTTCCAGCAGGACACTGCTGCATTTCACACCCCTCAGCCCCCGGTGCCTCCCTCAGCTGCGCTGTGCGGGCAGCGGTGCAGGACAGGAGCTCCCTCTTCCCTTGTCCCACGGAGCCCAGGGAATGCACAGGAGGCTGGTGTCCCCTTTCCTGCTCCCCTCTCCCCTCAGTGCACACCCAAAGTCCAGCATCTGTGTCCCAAAACCCCGGAATCCTGCCTGTCCCTTCCCTGCATGGTACCCGTGGGAATGTCTAACAGCACCATGGCATTCAATGCTGATTAATACAAGGATTTTGATCATTCCTGACAATTCCCTGTAGCACAGGGCTGTCACAGGGAGGTCACAGCTGCTGTTGCTGTTGAAGACTCTGAAAACCTCACACACCTGAGCTGAGAGAGTTTGAATGTTTTTCAGCTGTTGGCAAAACCAGAGCAGAATACACAAACCAGCCTTGACCTTCCCAGCCCTGAGTGGGACTCCGGGAGCTGAACCTGCACAGGTGCCTCAGGTCACCCTGTCTTGGAAAGCAGATTTAATGTGCCTCTCCTGCCTGGGAGGGGACAGGCCAGAGCACTTCAGCTCCTGAGATGAGCCACAGGCAGCCTGGCAGGGCAGGAGGGAGGGCTCCACGGGAGCCACCGGTGTGCAGCGGTGCCGGCCGGCTGGGGCCGTGCCCTGGCCCCACGTGTGACATCCGTTCTTCATGAGCAGCCTTAGGGGAACGGGATGGGCTGGGTCTGGGCTGGGTCTGTGCTGGGTCTGTGCTGGGTCTGTGCTGGGTCTGTGCTGGGTCTGGGCTGGGTCTGTGCTGGAAGAGCTCCAGCTCCGGGCAGACCTTGCAGGTGCAGGTCCTGCACGGCAGGGCCTAGATTAGGCGCTCTTCGGGTGGCACCTTTAGGACACTGTCCATCTCCAGCCGAGCTCCTGCCACCTCCTGCTGGCTCGGGCTGTAGGTCCCCTCGGACTGGCGCCTCTTCCTTGCCGTGAGAACCATGAATATGAGACCAATACTGAGGAGCAGCACAGAGCCACAGGCTACAGGGACAGCTACTTCAATTAGTGGGGAGGGGAAGAGAGCACCTGGAGTCCCTTTCTGTAAAAGAAATTAATGGAGAAACAATGAAACCCCAGTGGTTACAATAACTGCAATAACTGACCAAAATGGTCAGAGGGAAAAAGGTTTTAAGAAAAGCAATAAAAAGCACTTTTTCACAGCAAGACAGCCCCTTAAGATGTAAATGCCAGTTTACTCAGCATCTACAGTGGGAGCCTTTAAAGGTGACTTCTTATCAATATCAGACTAAAATACACAGGTGGCACTGGCAAAGTTGTGACCAAAAAAAAAAAAAAAAAAAAAAAAAAAAAAAAAAAAAAAAAAAAAAAAAAAACCCCAAACCCAAAAAACCAAAAAAAAAAAAAAAACCCACAAAAAACTTCAATGATGCCTGTAATGGCAAAGCAGAGAATTGATTAAGCTGTTAAACTGAAACAGAAATGCAGAACTTGCAGCAGGAAGGGGAAGATGTTGAAGAGGTCAGGACATGGATGGGAGATGGAGATGATATAAAACCCAAGTACTGAGGAGAGAAATGAGAATTCCCTAGATTCTGGTGGAATCAAGAAAGGAATGGAAGACAACAATATAACTAAAACAACTGTGGAATTTTTGTCATGAAACAAAGTTTTAAATTACAACAAGCTTAAAAATTAGATATTTCTTATTGCTAACAGTGGCATCGGCCAACTTACAGCTAAAACCAAAATAATTCAAGCTGCATTATTTACAGTTTTTAGACGCCATTCAGTCTGTGCTCATGTCACAGAGGAAAGAAGGAACATTCCCAGGGGATCTGGAAGCCCTTTGCCCTTTCAAATGCCTGAAGTCCAGGTGGATTCCCTGAGCCTGTCCAAACCTGAGCACTGTGCGGGGTTAGTTCTGGACCATGCGGGTCAGTCCTGCACCACGAGGGCCCAGCAGGGCAGCCCTGGAGCTGCTGCTGTGGGAGGAGAGAGCAAAGGGAGCTCAGCTGAGCTCCATCTGTCCCTGCTGGTGCTGAGCACCATCCCCAGCCCTCCCTGCCCCACCAGGGGCCTGGCTGTGCAGGAGGGAAAGGAAAGAGTGAAGAAAAGGAAGGGGAGGGTGATGGAAATGAATACAAGGAATCCACAGAAGTGTCCTGGGACAGAGGAGATAGAGATGCCTGAAGGAGTCTGTGCATGCAAGCTGGAAATGTCAGGGTGACCTTGGCACGTGCATTAGAGCCCTGGATAACAGCAACAGCAGCAAACCCCACCTGGCACAGAGCCCTTTCCATGCAGGATGGGTTAGTACATTCCCAGGTTACCCAAAAAGCTGCCTGTCCATGCAACAGCTTCCCAGAGAAAGCAGGGGTATGGATCCCATCTCCCCCCAGGAAGGATCCCAGCCCCACCCCAAACACTTGGATTACGTACAAGGGGATGGCCCAGCTGGGCCGGGGCAGCAGCAGCTCAGGGACAGGACTCAGCTGTTTCACACACACCTGAACCACTCTTGGCCTGACTTAGTCCAACTTCCCTCTCCAAACATCCATTTCTATTCAGATGATCTTTGGAGAGGGAAAGTGTTTAGTAACTCTTATCCAAGATAAAACATCAAATGAAATTCCTCTCTCCAGGAACTTGGGTCAACTGCAGGAGTTGGATTTCTGTCCAAAGAGTTGTGAAATCTATGGAGATGTGCAGAGACAGCCCCAAAAGCCATATGGCAGCACATGCAGATACTGAGGAGCATTTACTGCAGTTCTTTATATGCTGGAGCCCAATAAGCAGCAGCACTGCAGAGAAAAAAAGCCATTCAGGATTCCCCAACTGTGCTTTAGGCAGGACAGGAGCAGGAAGAGCCCCAGCAGAGCCCGAGGCCCGCTCAGCGCGGGGCCAGGCAGAGGCGCGGCGGGCCGTGCTTACGTTGATGTCGCAGCGCTCGCCGGTGTAGCTGGCGCTGCACACGCACTCGTATCTGTTCTCGGAGTCCTGGCACGTGCCCCCGTTCTGGCACGGGTTGGGGTCACACTCGTTTATGTTGATTTGACAGCTGGAAAGGAAGAGTGGTTTAGAATTGTCATAGAACACAAGATCATCCAGTCTAAAAAAACCTCTTTTGTTTGAAAAGGGCCCATTGCAGCTTCTCCAGGTGCTTTCTCTGGAGTCAACTTGAAATTCTCCCCTATTCACACCAACCCTCCTGTTGTGGGTTCTATGGGACTGAGGCCAGCACAGGTCTCCAGCACAGGTAGTGTGCTTGAAAAAATCTTGGAAGCTGTTCTACTGCAAAAACTGGTTGGCAGCTGGATGATCTAAAGCCTCTCTCTGCTCCAAGCAACAGCTCGTGTTCCCATTAGGAGCAGCTGTTTGACTGGCATGACAACATGGAGGAGGGTGAAGCAGTGGCCCTGCTCTGGCACCCACTTAGATCAGGACTGCAGCACGGGATCCCAAAACAGCACTTACTTCCTTCCAGTGAAGCCAGGCCTGCAGGAGCAGTTGGCTCCCCAGCTCTCGGTGATGCACCTGCCACCGTTCAAACAGGTGAAGTTCTTGCCACACTGCTGAGGGGGAAATGGCCACCTGGGGAGAGCAAGAGACAGGTTTTATAGCACTCAGGTTTTGGGGAAGGACAGAGTGTTCTGGGGCTCAGGGGGAATGGGGCTGGCAAGGGTCATAAACAGAGTCCTTGGTACTTCTAGGAAGGAGTTTGACATAAGTGAGAAAGGGAATAGTCTCAGAAATAATCCATAACATCAGAGTATTCCTTGGATCATGCCCTGAACAGACAGGAGCTCTATCAGTACTCAGACAGGCCTGTTCTTGCTAATGAAAATATAGGCAGGGACAGGACATTGCTGGGACAGTACAGCCAGGCCCCAGGAAGGATAATGCCAGTACTGGGTAACTGTCCCAGCATGCAGCAGGAACAACAGGAAAATCATCCTGGATAGATCAGATAACTGAAATGCAGCCATGTCAGTATTTAACTCCATGCTCCATTTGAACTGGCACAAGATGTTTTGTTTTAAATCAGCACAGGAATATGGCAGAGGGGAATCAAGTCACAGAGAAGATGGATATCTTGGGGAGTGCTAGAGGAAAATGACAACAGGCCAGAGTATGTGCCCTTCAAACAGCTGTGAAAGGTAGAACAGGGATACCCACATCAAAAGGAACTGTACAAGGCTGAGCCCCTGTCAGTGAGAGTTTGGACCTGGACAGCACCTTGCAAGTCACAGCAGGTTCTTTACCTATGAGATGCTTGCAATGAAAAATTTTCCCAAAGTAAAAGCCCAGTTTATCTGGAGGCTCCTCTGCCCCCTGTATCAGCACAGCCCCAGCACTTACTCGCAGCGGGGTCCGGAGAACTGCGGGGGGCACTTGCAGGAGTATCCGTAAACGCCATCGACGCAGGTGGCGCCGTTCAGGCACTGGTGCCGCACGCAGTCGTCCACGTTGATGTCGCACCTCTTGCCGATGAAGCCGCGGAAGCACTCGCACTGGAAGTCTGCCACGGCATCCACGCAGGCCCCGTGGACACAGGGGCTGGGCTGGCAGTCATCGATGTTGGCCTCGCAGCGCTGCCCCGCCCAGCCCGCGCCGCAGCCGCAGCGGAAGGCGTTGAACAGGTCCTCGCAGGTGCCGGCGTTGAGGCAGGGGCTGGAGGCGCACACGTCGGCCCCGGAGCAGCCCAGCTGCACGCTGCCCGGGCCGGCCCGCTGGAACTGCTCGGCCTGCGGGTACAGCCGCTGGGGCGGGAAGGGCAGGAAGATCCCCCCGATCTGCACCCGGCCCAGGCAGCCGGTGAAATTTTCAGCCAAAACGACCGACACGTTGTTCTTGAGGAAGTCCAAGCTGCCGGCGCTTCCCTGCAGAGTCACGTTCAATGCCCCATCCAAGCGGAGCAGCCACCGGGAAGAGAGCACGGCCGGCTCCTCCATGGACACGGAGACGCTGTGCCAGGCCCCATCCGCGACGGGCTGCGGGCTCAGGAAGCTGACACCCTCAATGCTGTTCCCAGTCCTGATGTCAACAAGCAGGGAGGAATTCTTAATGGCTACCTGGAGGGAATCCACCTCTTCCACAGCCTGAAGCAAAACAGCATCTTCATCTCTGGTTCTGAAATCCATGTGCAGGCTGCTCAGAGTTCTGGTCACTGATGTGCTGGTGGTAAATTCTACGGCAGCGTAACTATTAAATGTTGCATTAGCCAGACCTATAAATAAAGGGGGAGAGCACGAGGGATTTCAAAGACAGTTGGTATCCTGTTCGAGCCAGACCAGCAGCACACCCCTGGCAGGTTCTCTCCCTAAGAATCCCTAAGCTTAGTGTGAGCAGGATTACAGTCGAGCTGCTGGCAACCTTAAAGCTCTTCCTGTTTACAACTGCACCTCCTGTAATAATATCCAGCTCTCAGGCAGCAATTTCCACTCCTCAGCCGTGCTCTGTCACACCCAGGGCGAGCGCACGGAGCCCATGCTGCCTGCAGCAGGAGGTGCCTGGGCACCACTCCGTGCCCTCCTTGCAGTATGTGTTTGTATTGTTTTCAACAGCAGTCTGGGAACGTTGATTATAGACAGGGAATGGGGGGGATTTTACCAACACACGAGCAGGAGAACAGAACTTACACACATATCCTGCCACAACGTCTATGCAGGTGGTGGCTTCAGGACATGGGTCACTTTCACACCAGACTTTCTCTTCACAAAATTTCCCAGTGAAATTTGCTGGACAGCTGCAACGGAAATCATTCCAAGTGACAATGCATCTGCCACCATTCTGACATGGCTCAGACTGAAAAACAAAACAGGGGAATTTAGAGGCAGAGTAATTAATCTTGAGGTCTAAGAAAGTTTGGTAGAATTGTGATGATGAAGATGAGCACAAGGAGCATTTTAATCAAGAGAGGAGGGAAATGGAATAATGACTCAAGAGCAGTAAGGGAAGCACAAGGGCCTCTGTACAAGAAATTCCTGAGCCCTGCTCCCCCCTGTGCTGACCAGCAGGAATGCCAGCAATTTGGCAAAGAACAATGCACAAAAGCACAGGTGAGGAATGGATGAAACAAATTGTGCTGCTTCCAAGAAGCTCACAAAGTTCTGTCACCAGAAGGAACACCCCTAACACCACAGGTGTGACAACACTTCAGAGCACCATAAGCAAGAAGGGCAAGATTAGGGGTGTAGCCTCCCCATCACCAGGTGTGGCACAGAGGAGAGCCAGGCTCTGATCCTTGTTGTTGAAATGGCAGATTCTTGGGGAAGAGGTGGTTGTGCAATTGGAACAGGATGAAGGGAGGGGGCTGGCAAGATTACAGGTTAGGGAGGGGAGTCTGGAACCTATATGGGCTCAGCAAAGTGGAGATGGGCAGCACAAAAGCCACCACTCAAGTTCTAAAACCACAAAAACTACAGGGTAGCTTGAGAAAACTCAGTGTTTAAATCATATGTAGCATATTGAGTGAGGTGAGAGCACAGAGAACCATGTCAGTACATCAATACATCAAAAACCTCCTCTTTCTGGTATCAGCAACAGTCATAGACTTTTGTATAATAACCCCTGCACACACAGAGACAAACACAACACAGCACAAACCTTGCAGGTGTCATCAGAGATGCAGCCATTCACAAGATTTCCAGTTTGAGTCCTATTGAGTTCCTCTGGCAAACTGTCATTCTCCACCGGGAAAAACTGTATCTGGTGGTTGTTGAGTTGGATGTCCTGCAAACAGCCCTTGAAATAGCCCCCCCAGAGCTCAGCACGGCCGGGGCTCGGGTGCCCCCCAATGAACACTTCAGAGCCAGCTCCCAGGGCTTGTGCTGGCAGCTGCCCCAGCTCCACAAACGAGTCTGACTGCAGAGCACCAACAGAGCCTCCTTGGAAAGACAGGGCTATCAAATGTCTTCTCCCATCAACCACATTCCCTGGAAAGGTCACGGTGTCCGAAGGTGACATCTCTATGCTCAGCTGGCCATCCCTGAGGTACAGGGTGAGGCAGGGGCCTGTCCCATTGCACACCTGCAGTAACAAACCATCGGGCTTCCGGCTCCGCAGGAAAAAGGAGACATTGAAGTCTGCACCAAGGCTGTCAGAAAGGGTGAAAGAGGCAAAGCTGGTGGAATTCTCTAGGCCAAATGTTGCTGCTGGGCGCTCTGGAAGAGAAAAGAAACAAACTTCAGCTCGGAGATAAAGGGAATGCAGCTGGCACAGGGATGCAGCTCCTTAGGAACGGGGCAAAGGTCTCTTCTCAACAATTTTCACGTGTGTCAGGGTAATGATGCTCCTCCCCACAGGTCTGTGGCACTAAGAAGAGGTGACTGTGTCCTTGCTTCCTCTGGAGTGCACAAATTCAAGTATCTAAGTAGCATGAGAGTGAAATACAGCTCCTAAGAGCCCTTGCCAATCCAGCAGATTTACTCAAGGTCTTTCGAGATACAGAGTTGCTTTTAAATTTTGTAAATTTGGTAACAGCAGTACATGCCATATTTAGGGCTCAGAAGAGTTGGAAAAAACCCCCAGTACTAATAGAAGCCTTACAGGAGCAAAGAATGCAAATAGATATGATTTTAACTCAAAATTGTCCAATAGCTTCCTTTAACAAAGCAATACATTCCTATCATCTTCAATTCAGAAGCCCAAGATCAAGTTTTCACAGTAAAACAATTTCCCTGCTCCCCTGCATTCATACAGATCTGTTAAAAGGTGAAGTCAGAGCCTCTGGCTCTACCAGGAATAACCTGCATCACAAAACTGACAGTCATTCCTGCAGGAGCAAACAACAGAAAAGGGATCAATGAGAATTTTATTCACAGAGGCTTTTGCTTTCTTTTTCCCCCATGTCAAATAGAAAGTCCTGTTTCCAGAACCAACATCCAAGCTTCTCCAGTACCCGTGGAGCTGGCAGGTGTCAATCCCGTGGCACTTACCATATGAGCAAGCTGGGCCTCCATAGGGCCTGGCACAGTCACACCTGAAGGTGGCCCAAAGGTCCACACAGAGCCCTCCGTGGAAGCAGGGCTGGGACAGGCACCACTCGGTGCGGTCGCAGCCCGGCCTCGCCGGGGACGGCTCCCCCAGCGGCAGATCCGCCGGCACAACGGCCTCGGCGTCCACCTGCAGGTCTTCCAGGCAGCCCACAAAGCCTTGCTGGCTCCGAGTGTTGTTGGCCATTGGATCCTCAGCACCTCCAATATACAGATTCAGGAAGGCTTGTGGGATCACAGCAGTGCCCGGTGGGACAGGAGAGCTCTGCAGGCAGACCCCGGCCTCACAAGAGCCGTGCCAGAGCTTCAGCTGCACCGTGCTGTGCACAACAACTTCCACTTTATGCCACTGGCCATCGTCCACTCTCAGCCCCTTCAGGAGCAGGGGGTACCCAACATCCTCCCTCTTCAGCTCTGCATGCAGGATGCCATCCAAGAGCTCCAGGAACAAGTACTCAGCTCCACGGCCTCGGTAAAAAAGGACAGCGCTGGGCAAAGTGGTTCGGAAGCGGAGGGACACGCTGGCTCCTCCTGCGCCCCTCCCGCTCGCACTGTTCTCGGGCAGCTCAATGAGGAGATACCCTCTGGAAGCAAAGGAGAACGTTGTTGGTGTCGAGCACGTGGCATCAGAAAAACCAGGCTGGCACTGGCACAGGTGGCCGTGGCTCTCAGCTTGGTAGGTTGGGATGCACAAGGCCTCGTTCTGGCAGCCGTGCGTCTGGCACCCAGTGAGCTGGACAGAGCAGTTCTTCCCTCCCCACATAATGCCATCCTGGCCAGGGGCACAGTGGCAGGAATAGTCAGCAATGCCATCCTCACAGACAGCTCCATTCTTGCAGGGACCCTCCTCACACTCATTGATGTTAACAGCACATTCCACACCTGTGAAAGAGATTTAGAGATGGGATCTCACCGTGGGACTGGGACACCCTCCCAGAGCCTGCCGGGCACAGCCCTCCCCAGTTCTCTCCAGGGAGCAGCTGCCAGCAGGAGCCCCACACTCACTCAGAGGGTCCTGCAATGATGCAAGAGCAAGAAAACCAAACTCCTGTGTCCTCCCAGGTGCTATTTATTGAGCTTTGGGCTGTCAGCCCAAATCCCCCCACCAACTGCTGCCCTGTCCCAAGCTCAAACCCCACAGGCAATCAACGTGAAGAAGGTATGGAAGGACCAAAACAGCACAGACAAGGAATTCATGCTTTTTTTCTCAGTAGATTTGGTATGTTGAAAGACCAGGTAGGTCTGTAGATCTGACTGGAGCATGTTCCAGGCACCAGTGTTGCAGACAGCAGCAAAATGGGAAGTTACTGGAAAGCCTCAGTTAAAAAAATCCAATTCCAACACGACCCATCAGTTGTAAAACTCACAAAACCCAATTCATTACCAAACAACAAACACAACATGCTTCACAGGCACTGTGCCATGCTGGCACTAAGCTGATTTCAGTTCTGCCCAGTCCTGCAGAAATGAACTGGGTGAGGTCCTGCACTGCCATTCTGTCTCCTGGCAGCACATGGATCCCAATGGGGCTCAAGTAAATTACCAGATCTGGCTAATGAAAATCTGCTGTCATTTTCCTGAGCATCCCAGACTGACAGAGGAGCCCTGAACCAGTTCACTTTATCTAGCCTATAACATCGGTTTTCACTAATCTTCAGAGACAGTCCCACAGATAAACCAAGCATGGATTATCCCAATCTAATAGCATTACACCCGATCCAGCCAGCAAGCACAACGAGGGCAGCAGGAAGAAAAAGAAGGAATTCACACACAAAGGAGGGGAATCAAAACACAAAGGACATTTGTAAAGAAAAGCCACTAGACAGAATGTGCATGTCAAAGAGATTAGAAAGCTGCCTGGAGCAGAGAGATGGGGGGAGATGGGGCACTAGGAGCACTGAAGCTGGACTTGATGTGTGATTAAAAATAAAAACTTAGCAAAGGTACAGGTTCTTGAATATTTGAATTGATGGTTTGTCCCCTGAGCTCTGCAGAGAGATGAGCACCAGCTTCCAGCTCCAAACTGTCAGATTGTGCCAGTGTAGGGACAGAGCTCTGGGGAGCACTGAAAGAGAAATGCAAAGCTCTAGTTCTCTACTTTCCAGATGTGCCAGAGCTGTTCTGTAAGCAACAGTGTCTTCAGCACAGCCCTCTTCCTCTTACTATTGGGCTTGCTCAGCAAAGGAACAGCAGGGACGGAATTGAGATTGCAGCACAAAGCTATGAAGGAAATGTGTTGGAATAAATAGAGTATAAGGGACATCACTGGGCCTGGAGAGTCCCAGTCTGGGAGAAGATGGGGGTGGGTTTTCTCAGACAGTTCTCCAAGCTGCAGGAGGCAAGTCTGCAGTCAGACTAAAGGGGAGAGGCTGAATAAGGAAAGACAGGTTTGGTTCAGTCCCAAATCCTGAGATGCTGCTGTTTCAGAGCAGAGCTGCTGATATTTACCAAGACAAGGAGGGGAAGATAACATTGGTTTGGATAACAAAAGGAAAGATGCCTTGAATTTTTGCATTTCTGAGAAGGCTGGGAGGCAGGAGAGGCCCATTCCACATTCCCAGCCTGAGCAGGTCAGGAGCACCTGCCCGGGCTGCTCCTGCCCCGCAGCCCCCAGAGCTCACACCAGGTGGGACCCGAGTCCCAGGGTGGGTGCACAGCCTCTGGTTGGTGGCTGAATAAACACCAGGCTTTCCCGAGGGATGCAGCTGGTTTGATTTCTTAGAGTATTTATTTAAGATGGGTGAAAAGCAGATTGCACAGGAGTTCTAAAAATCTGGCTAATGACAATTTTTTTTCCTGGAAGACTAACTAAGGATTTATCTGAAGCTACATCACTACAGTTTCCAAAAGTACAGATAATTTCCTGGATATCTGTTATTCCAATCTTCTCCAAGACATGGACAGTTGTGTCTTCACAGACCCATTGGGAAGTAGATATTATGAAGTTGATCAAGACTAATTGTTTTTCCTAAGAGCAGCATAGGCAGGTTTTCAGGTTTATTTAAAAAAAATAAATTGGGGGACGTGACTGTTCAACAAAAACAAGTAACAAAACCAAGTTATTCTCCTTGTAAATAAGTAGTACTCTCTCTGTTCACTCTAAATTTCATAGCTGAAATGTTTCCTTTTATTTGAGCCATCAATAGTAAAAGCAACCAATTTGATTCATTACACCATTAGGAGAATTTCAAACGTTTAATGAGTTCCTTATCTAGTTAAAGACTAACAATAGCAAAGCAGTGGAACTTGTTATCTAAAAATCAGACAAGTGGTATCTAAAAGGCTGCTATCTGGAGTCAAGGATTTCAAACATTCTGTTAATTCAGCAGTGTCTGAGGTAACAGTCCCAAGCCACCAACCCACAGGGACTGGGTCAGAAACATTCAGAAGTGGCTGAGTTTTCACAGCCTTCAGTATATTCAAATATTCAAATACAAATCCTCCACCACGTTCAGAGTGCTACTGCTGTGGTGGGAACAGTCCTGTTTTGCAGATGCAAGTGTGATTAAATCCACACAGCTCACCACTGCCTGAATGGAGGGAATGATTTACTGGCTGCTATTAATAAGTAAAGATTCATTGTATACAGTGTAAGAACCATATACTTCAACAGATACATAAAATATTAAAATAATAAGCACAAATGAAGTGAAATATTCTAATTTAGCTGTCAGATATCAAAAAACCTTGAAGGACAAGGTCTATTCCTTGAAACACGGGAGTTCAGCAGGGCTGGCCAGCCAGCACCGCCTTGCCCTCTCCTAAAGGCAGCTGAATTCCTAACGACCTTTCCCTGCTGCATCCTAATTAGGGATTGTATTATGATTATCAAAAGGAAAAAGGAGAGGAGGGAGACGGGGTAGGCAGAGAATTAGCCGCTACAAATGGACCCCGACACAATTATATTTGCACAATTACTGCCATTTCCATGGCAACCCCTGCTCTGCTGCTCTCCCACCTCGCTGCTGCTCGGGGCGGGAGCGGGAGGAGCTGGGGAAGGCACTGACCACCAAAGGGTTTGTCCTGAGCTATAACCACAAAACCTACTTCTCAATAAGGCAGCTTTCAATCAGTAAAGGAAAATTGAAAACTGCAAAAACATCAGTAAAAAGCAAACCTAACGTTTCCCAGAAGTAGCCGGGAGGTGCCTGTGTGCCTCAGAGCTCAGCTGGGCGCAGACCCGGTGCCTCGGAACAGCCGGCTCTGACACAAGGCAGAACTGCAGCACAGTGACTGTGCAGCTCTCAGCAGACCCGTGCAGCAAGGAAATTCCTTGCCTTAAAGTTTCCAAAACAAAACTTTAGGTCTCTTCAAAATAAAAACCTTCTTTTCTAATCAATTCTGGTTCCTTCTCATGCCTCCAGGCATCACTCATCACACACCCAGCCCCCTGCCCTGGGCAGGCACGACACACTGCACACATCTCATTACCTGCTAGCAGAAAAATTCCCTTCAGGATCACGCCAATCAGCACAGATTTCATGGCCGACTCCTTGTGGACATTGGTAACAGTAAAGGGAAAAAAAATGGGAGTGAAGGGGGGAGGGATGACTAAAAAGGCTGGGCTGACAGGGCACTGTGTGCCGGCGCTCGCCGGTGCCAGTGCCACGAGAAGGGATTGGAGCGGAAGAGCCGCGGGAGCAGAGCCCTGCCCTGCGCCAGGTCTAATCCAGCCCGGCTCTGACCCTCCCAGCTGGCCCCCGGCCCTGCTGACACCAGGAATGTGTGCTCCAGCATATTCCTGCTCCCTGCCTCCTGCAGGGCCCGGCAGTGCCCACAGCCTCGGCAGGGCAAAGCCAGGACACATCTCCCGCCCTTGCTGTGGTCCAGGTGAATCTGCCAAATTCCGTGAATAACGCCAAAATGTTCTTTTCATAGGCTAAGCCAAAACGCTGCATTTCCACCATTGTGCAATATCTAAACCATAGGAACAAGGGGAGTTCCAAATGCAGAGTGAACCTGGGCCCTGCTGCACATTCACTGCTCAGGGAATTGGGGTCCATCAGGCATTTTCCTTCTCCCTGTGCCCTGTTCCAGTGGTCTGTCAGCACAGACATTTCCACTCTGCTGTATTCACTAAGAAAAGTCTCAGGTTGTGATGACCATGATCTGTTTCCTGAAGATGGATGGAAAGAAATTCCCTGCATTATGCTGAATGTACAGGTTCAAACATGGCAGTACACAATCAAAACTCTTTCTTTCCTCATTAGCCACCTTACTAAATTAGCTGTTACAATGTCATTTTTCCTCTATGATTCTGGGGTTTGTTTTTACTTTGTTTTTTAATATAGTTGCTTTCACATTACAAAATTTCCGGAAGCAGAGTTGTATTTTTGTGCTGTAAGGACCCAGAGAAGTTTCTTATCTCTATGAAGAAATGTTATCTGAGAGCTTTCCCTCAAACTTCGAGTCTCTGTTTGTATCAATGTCAGGTCCAAGCAAACAAAACCTCCCACATGTCACTGTCTGGAATCTAAATTAACTGCATCACTAAGATATTTTCAAAAACGTTCCAACAACTCCACTAGCTATTTCACTTTTGTAATTTTACTCAAAACAAACATGCCAGTCACTTTTACAGATACTTGAAGTGGGAGGGATATGGTGAGTGTTTGCTTGGAGTCAAAACTTCTCAGAAAACCACAGACCTGTGCACACAGACCTGTCCCAGCACAGATTTGGAAAATTATCTCTGACCCTTCTGTTATTGTTCAGGAGAAAACAAACAGGCGGTTGTGCACATTCAGCCACTACTGCAACAATGAAGTGTAACAACTGTGAAGACTGCAGAAGATTCATTGTCTTCAAAGAAATGTCTATTTTGGTTTATGCAGCCACACATTTATCCCCACATACACACAGAGTCTACCTGGACACTACTGCCTGGAAATCCATCACACCCCAATGCACCCAGCACAGATTCTGCTCTCACCTGGCACCAGGCACAAGCAGGCTCTGGACTGCAGCACTCACAGCCTTCTGATCAGATGACAGGGGAGTCAAAAGGTCTGATTAACATGGAGCTGTGATCCAGCAGGGAGAAGAAACGTGGAGTGGAAGGGAAGGGGGGGAGCCTCACCAAATGCTGCCTAGCTCCCTTCAGCTATATTTACCAGAAGGGATTTGGTTGAAGGTGGAACAGGCCTCTAATCTCTTTACAATCTTAACCTTTTAGCTGCCCTTGCTCTAGAGGCTCCATCTCTAAAACAAATCTGACTTAAGAAATAGCTGCACAAAAAAATTAAATCTATTCAAAGGTGGTTAGAAGGAAGAAGCATCTCCCATTTATTTCCTGACCCATGACCCAGGAATTCAAGCCCATTTGATCTGGGCTGACACCCTTACAGAGTCACCATTTATAGCTGCTGCACAGAAGGTTTCTACTTTAAGGAGACAAAGACATTATGGCTGAACAAAGCGAGATGGTCAATAAGGCCTCCAATTATACTGGGACACATTCACACCACATCACCTGCTGATTTCTCATGAAAGTAGAGTGTTCCTCAGCCATGTGCAGAAGAGCTCAGAACGTTGCCATGATCACAAGGTGCCAGTGCCCGGGGCTGGGTGGCTGCGGTGGCAGTGCCCTGCTCAGCCCCCCTCATCCTCATCGGAGCTGCCCAGTGCCACCGTGCCCGCGGCAGGACACGGCCTCTTCTGCTGAGCACAGCTCTAGCTCCACTGCGAGCACTTAGGCCATCCTAAAGTTTTTAAAGAATGAACGATCCAAACTTCAGTGATAACATGTTTTCAGGTTAAAAATCAGTGTCCATGTCAAATGGAGGTACCTGTCTTTTTCTCATCCTGGCCTAACCTACTGCTGAATAAATACCTGATGGATTGAAACCATTTCTTAAAAAAAAAATTTCAGATTTAATTTTGTTGGATTTCTTTTCCCCATAAAAGACAGACCTTTCCTAATATGCTTTGGCTCTTGACCACAGTTGACATAATTTCCAAGAGCATGTAAGATTCCCTCTCCTTTGCACCTCATTTAGTACCCATGCAATCTTTTGATTTGTACTTCTTGTATCCTCTCAGGGTACCTATATCCTCTGCTAAAGCACAAACCATGTGCTGAACAGACTCTTCAGGACCTGTTATGTTGTTCTCTCAGGAATCAGGCACTACTTTATCAACAACTACATTTCAGAGAGAAGGTTCATCTGCCTGCACTACACTGAGACAGCACTGAAGCAGTTAATTTGCAAAGAAAGAATTTCTCCTGACTTGCATTGTTATCCCAACACTCCCCAAATTCCTGAGGCTGAAGAAGCAAACACACAGAAGGAACCCCTGCTGCCCCAAGAAAGCATTCTTCATCAGAGTAGCAAGTTCACTTTAATCAGTGGAGGCAGCTTAAACCCAAGTTCATGGCAGATCTAAGCTGCCACAGAAATGTGTTTTGAAGAGAAACATTATGGGAAGCTTCACAAAGTTGTCCTGTGATCCTAATATGAAGTAATAAGCTGTTTACCCAGCATGACTGTACTGGGATTAATTGACAAAGGAGTGGAGATTAATTGCTATTATTTCCCTGTCAGCTTCACTCCTCCACACGCACTCACTGATCTCACAGACTGCTCCCAGCCTTTCACTGTGTTGATGTGTCAGAACTATCTCAGCTGAGACAAAATCCTTTACCAAAAGTAATATCCAGAAGAGCAACCTGCTTCTAATCCCCTTCAAGTACTAATGAACCCAAATTTGATACAACAGAATGAACTCTAGCACTCCTTTGCCCATCAGCCCATGTTTCTATCAGCTTTTCTGCCCATGAGCACACTAAGAATTGGAAAGGATTAAACAGATCTGCAGTTTGGCAAAGTACAATGAAATTCTGAGCTCTGTGTGGGTGCTGGGACACTGCAGGAAGAAAAGAGAACAGGGCACAGATGTGAGTGGGAATTCTGACAAGAAGGATAAACTTTAGACCATCTCTTTGGACAAGATCTCAGTTCAGAGTACAGCATTGCAACTGCCCAAAAAAGCAGCGATAACAAGCTTAGATAAAAGCTGATTTTCAAAGGCCTCGTCTACAAACGCAATTTTTTCTTGATCTGGTCTAAATTAGCAAATAAGATAGGCCAGAAAACTACACAAATAATTCAGCCCACTTACAGAAGGTGATAACTAGAAGCTGGTTTTACATTCTGGGAATGAAACTAATAGGTCTTCCCAGGAAAGAGCTGGCCAGAATTAAACCAACACAGCTCAACCACTGCAACCACAGAAGGAAAAAAGAAAACTTTCCCATGCCATAAAGGCCTGAGAGAGTCTCAGGAATGTTGTTACCTGCAGTTGCAACTAAAGGGACAGGGTTTTCTTCTGGCTTCAAGTGTTTCTTTTTCCCACGAGATGGCAGCCTGGTAACACTGGAGAAGTTACCCTCATCTCAAATCCAGAAATCCAGGATTGTGCTGGAACACCTTTCTTATAAACTACTCTGGTGTTAAATTGCCCAACACATGACAAATTTAAAGATGAAGAAGACTGAGAATGAATATTTTAAAGAAAGATGAGGTTTAGTAGCAGTTAGCAGAGGACCTTCCCAACAGGGCTAACATTCACCATCTCCCAGATTCTCAACCAGCAAACCGAACCCTTAGGGTCAGGCAGGGCATTTGGGGAAGAATCCAGACTCCTCATTCCCTTGTAAACAGAGAAGGCTTCCTTTGCTCAGATCACAAAGACCTTTTGACCTCCTAACATAGCAGATCACTGCTTTCAGCCAAAAATGGCTGGCTCTTATCATCCCAGGGTGTTGGTGAATGGAGATGTTTTACAGATGCCTATGTGCTGGTGAGCCAATCTGTTACAGGCAGTACAATCTCTGACACTTAAACGTTAAACATCCCTCCTTTTATTTAAAGGCTGCTTTTCTATATATTTCCTGCTTGTATAGAACCCCCCAGAGTTCTCCCAGGTAACTTTCACTCCAGGATACAGATGCCCTGGATACTCTGATCTTAGACTCTATGCAGTTGATCTTATGTCTCCAAATCTAGCTCATGGCCTATCAATTTACTTGCCCACACTCACACAGCTTTGAGCCTGAGCTGCAGACATCCTGCTGCACACTCGCAGCCCAGCACCCTGGAATCCTGCAGGCAGGCAGCAATGCAGCAGTTCAGCATCAGCCAGCCAGGAGGCTCTGATTCCAGCCAGCCCTTCCCCAGGTACCTGAATAGCCAGCTGGGCACTGACAGAGGAAGCCATTCACCAGGTCCTGGCAGAGCCCCCCGTTCTGGCAGGGCTGGGACTCGCACTCGTCGATGTTGGTAAAGCAGGTGTCCCCTGGAAAGCGAAAACACAAACACACCTTGTGTGCACTTGTGCAGCAGTGAAACAAAAATGACAACTGCAGTCATAAGTTTTGCACTTCTTTTCTTTCACCTAAAAATGCAAAAGAATTCCTTGAAGTCTAGCGTGTCTCTGCAGGCACACAAACACCAGCACAGAACAATGGGGGCAAATGAAGTATGAAATGATTTTGCAGTCTCAAGCACTGTGAAGATCAGAATTTATGAACCATTCCCATCTGTGCGACAATGGGCCAAACACTCATATTTCTCTCATAAAATAATAAAGTATTGTTCATGCCTTCCCACTAGGGAATTTCCCTAGCTGTTAAATCCAGCATTTTACACATATCTCCAATCCATTGAAAGGTGGTATTTCAGTGGAACATCCACAGAGCTTTTAGCTCCAAGAGCTCCATACCAAGAAACTCCTCTTGTCCCACTTTGATTATACAGTTGCTGCCATGAGAGTAGTCTTACCAAGGAAACACCTAGAATAATAATCTGTGACTTCAGGGAATTTAGCTTCCTCTGATGAGGAATTTCAGAGATATCCCTAGGGAAATCCTGCCATATGCATGAGAGACTGACAAAGGGAAAACACCCTGGCACCTGCATAGCCAGAGGGCATTCATGGCAGCACAGGGAAGTGCACAGGCTGTTGCCTCAGCCTGGGGACAGTCTTGGACAGGGAATGACATTCAGCTGTCTGCAATGGGAGCAGAGGCGCATTCCTGATGCATTAGACTGCCAGCCCTTTTGAGTACCAGTCCTTAAGAGATTTCTGTTGCACAGAGAAACCATCTCCTCAAAGAGCAGTACCACCCAGTGCAGACAGGATGAAGGTTTGCTGTGCAGCTCACCTGTAAAGCCTGGCTGGCACTGGCACAGAAAGCCAGCTGCTTGGCTGTAGCTGAAGTTGCTGGGGAAGTGAGGCTGTGTCCCGTAGTGGGCTGGGTTGGAGCGCTCCAGGCACAGGCCACCGTTGTGACAGGGCTCTGTCACACACTCATCCATGTCCTCCTCACACTCCTGCCCAGTGTAACCTGCCACGAGACACCATGCACAACTTCACTGCAGCTCAGCTCCCAAATGCTGGGGCTGACTCAAAGGAGGGAATAAGACTCTCTAGCAGAGTCCTTGGGCCCTTTAACTTCTCCACTATGTCAAATACAGGAACCAAAAGCATCAATTTACAAGAAATCATCACCTCATGATAGAGGAATTCATGATGGAAAATGTCAGAAAACAGAAAGAAAACTTTACGGTTGGGAATCAGGGTGATTTTTGCAGGTCAGCTGGATTTTGAGATGACCTGTAAAGAGCAGCAGTGTAGCCTCACAGTTCCAGACAATGAAAACTCACACGGGGCCATGCAGTATGATCATTAATTTTCTACTTCTCCAACACAGCAAGCAAGCACGTGCTGTCCATGGCCATGTGCCCACACAGCACTCGAGAGGAGAGGCCCCAGCCCACCTGGCCAGCAGGCACAGCTGTAGCCCTTGATTCCCTCCAGGCACGTGGCACTGTTGTGGCAGGGGTCAGAGGCACACTCCAGGATGTCCAGCTCGCAGTGGGTCCCCTCGAAGCCGGTGTCACTGCAGTCACAATGGTAGCTGTGGGGCACCAAACAGAGCAAGGCATCAGCTCAGCCTTGGACAGCAAAGCCCTGGGTGAGGAATGGGCAAAAGAGCTCAGCTGCCAATGCTCACACCACTTGTGTTCACACTTACCCATGGAAACGTAAATTCAGACACACAGGTATGTTCTCAGCAGTTGCCTGTGCTGTTCATGCTCTGCAAACCACTTCCCTATGTTTGTTCCTCCCTTCCTTTAAGCACTCCTGGAGTTCTGCTGCTGGGAGGGGGCTTCTCCCTTATTGCCACAAATCATTGTTACTGCCACTCAATGTACAAAACACTAAATCCAATTCCCCCCACAGCTTTCTACTCTGATTTTCATAGGCTGCACTGAGCAGACCTTTAGATCAGTCCTGGTGTCTAATTGCCCCCACCATGGTTTCTCACCTGTTAATGAGGTTGTGACATGTCCCATTGTTCTGGCATGGCTGGCTTTCACATTCATTGATGTCCACCTCACACTGGGCTCCTTGATAACCTGGTGCACAGGTGCAGGTGTAGAACCCAACATGATCATTGCACAGGGCCCCATTCTGGCAAGGGTCTGAAGCACATTCATCTATTTCAGTATCACAGTTCACACCTTTGTTAAAAAAGAGAAAAATACCTGTTACAAATCCACAGAAGTGTATATGTGCTGCCTGGAATTGTGAGATGAAATCACAAGAGTTATCTTGTTTTGTCATCAGTTATCAACCCCAGCTGGCTACCAGAGTGATCTCTACCTGCTTCTCTGAAAATAAATTCCATTTATTTCAATTGTTTGTAACTTGCTTTGTGATACCCAGAAAAAAGCACAAAGGAGTGCAAAACAGGGGCTACAGGGATACCTGATGTTAGGAAGTGATTTTATTGGGAAATGCTATTAAAAATACAATGCTAGCTCCTCTACTGGTCTCAGCAAGCAACACCTGTTTGGTACAAAGTCCCAACCTCCCTGACAGCACAAGACCTCATGAAAGATTTCTGTGCAATTATCTTATCTATATTCCACCTCTTTGATCTGCCTGTGGCCTGGCATCACCTCCAAACCTTACTCAGTACAGTGCCACCTGCCAATCCATCTAATCTGCCCTCCTTGGCAAAGGCTCCCCGCAGAGTGGGCATGGCCATCCTAATCCTGGTGGAATGTGGGCCCCCTAATCTAGTTCAAACCCCTCAATACCCACACAAAACTTTCTTCACCCAAATTCCAGCTGCAAGCACCAGGAAACAACCTGGCCTTGCCAGCCAATGGTGCTCAAACCTCTGGATGAAAAACTAAATCCCACGGCTAAGCCTCATGACTGACATCAGAATAACTTGAAGCACAACAAACTCCTCCAGATGCCTGGATCACTTTATTGCTCCTTTGGCAGGGAATCCCACAATCCTGAATTGAGGATTCAGCATAAAGATAAAAAAGGAAACTGATTTGCAAAGACAGAATTATGCTTGATACTCAAAATCACCAGTAACCTCAGGGCCCACATAAAAAAATCTGTTCTGTTTCTCCTTCATCTCTCTTCATTTTTATCAGAGTGAGTCAGCATCAGGGACTACATTCCTAATGTTGTAACTTCTCCTCATTCCACTGGTAATCAGCAGCATTCCTTCACAGGAACTCAACTCCTTAAACACTTCAGTCTGTGAACAGGAGGAAGGCTGAGAAAGTTCATGTGCGAGGTGGTACCAGGCAGGCACAGTCACATTCCGCCCCACTGCACTCCGATAAGCAGGGCTGGGGGAAGGAGAGCCCCCCACTGCCTCCCTCACAGATAACCCACAGGTGTGGATTCCTCTCTGACTCACCATTAGCACAGATGCACAAAAGAGAAACACTTAAATCGTATGCCAAATAAACATTCGCAAGGCATGAAAGAATTGGAAATCTCCAGCTAAAAGACACTTTTTTCCAAAAGACAAGTACTTCCCTTGGAAAAATCCTGCTGGACAGGACCAAGAACTACAGGCCAGGTCAGCAGAGCTAAGTTTTACCTGGAAACACTAAGTATCCACTTCCTGATGATAACTATCTTTTTACATTATCTCCCTTAATTTTATGCTGACAACTAATCCCAGCTACCCTGTGTCCAGTCTCGGTGCACTCTTGGATCCCTGTCTCAACACCTACAGCACACAGGGAATTCAAAGCCTCAAGCACTGCCTGGAAGCTGCTGGCAGCAGCCTAAGCAGTGCTCAGACCCGTGGCCAGACGCCGCGGGGCCGCAGCGAGGCAGCGAGGCGCTGAGCAGCCCCGCGGAGGCGCGGCGGCCCGGCCCTACCTGCGTAGCCGGGCGCGCAGCGGCACTCGTAGCGGTCCATGTGGTTGAGGCAGGTGCCGTGGTTGCGGCAGGGCCGGGACGCGCACTCGTCGATGTCGATCTCGCAGTGGGAGCCCTGGAAGCCGGGCACGCAGAAGCAGCTGTACTCGCCCGCGCTGTCCCGGCAGATGGCCCCGTTCCGGCACGGCCCCGAGGCGCACTCGTCGATGTCGTCCCCGCAGGTGGCCCCGCTGAAGCCGGGCCGGCAGAGGCAGCGGTGCCCGCCCGCGGCCGCCACACACGTGCCGTTGTTCAGGCAGGGGCGGCGGGAGCACTCGGAGCTCTCTGCCGGGCAGCCTTCTCCAGCGGGGCCCGGCCGGCACCTGCAGCTGTATCCAGCTGGGCTATCCACACACTCCAATCGAGGGTCTGTGCAAGGGCTGCTCTTGCAATCAACACCATCACAGTCGGCACCTGCAGAGCCATCTGTGCACACACATTCATAGCCCAGGAGTCCTGGAGTCCGGGTGCAGGTCATGTGGGCAGGACAGCCGTGCTCAATGCAAGCATCGTAGAGGAGTTCACACTTTATGCCCATGTAGGCTACAGGCTCCACAGGGCAGGTGCACTGGTAACCCGCTTCCAAATCCTTACAGCTCCCCCCATTCTCACACGGGGACGAGGAACAGCCACTGTCATTTTCAGAGTATGAAGTTCCTGATGAGAAAAGAGACTTTCTGTTAGCCAGCATTTTTACCTCTAAAGAAAAAAATTCTGCCAGTGCCCACATACAGCATGGAGACTGCCCAACTAAATTCCATACAACAAAGGGCTGCGCTAGCCAGGAGATGAGGACGATACTGGAGAATCAAACACTTACTATAAAGAAGACAACGGCCCTTCATTTGGTGGCAATCAAAAATCTCTTGCCAAACCAACTATTTTACTTGTGCTTATTCATCCATGAGTCACTTTGAAAGCAGTGACACATATCAACTTAAATCCATTCACAAGATTAACTTAGTGTAAAATTCCATGACCCCTTTCACTGGCAGGGCACAGCATTTGTGCCTGGAAATCCAGAGAGGCAGGATGAGTTCAGGTATTGGCTGCAGCTCTGTATGTCCCAGCTGCTCCTTCCGGGGATACAATTTTTTCTCAGCTCACCCAGACGTGACTTGAAGATGCTCCTATAAATAAGGCAAGGCAAACTCCAAATGGGCACATTTATAGAGTCTCTGATTCCTTCAGGCAGCTCAGGTTGATAACCACCGACCCTCACCCTCTCCTCATGTTTGACATGTAAATTTACACAGCAGGACAATTTTAGCAAGGAAGAGCAGAGATCACCATGCTGATGGCATTTTGGATCAGTACCTGCTGAGCCAAAACACAGTTTAACAACCAGATAACCAGGAACTAATGTTGAGACGAGATTCCCCTAAATCTGGGAGCATTTGGATGTGAAAAGTTAATTCACACTGAGCCACAATGCCTTGCTGTCCCCTCAAAGGCAGCGTTTAAAAGGCTCTTGCCCCATTAAGCAACTCCCCCCCTCCAGAAATGTGATGGGATGTGCCCACTGAACTGCAAATTTAGTTCATATAAATGAGATTAAGTAGAATACACCATATTAAAAATGTATTCAAAATAGATATTTCAAATGGAGCAGAATGGAACAATAGGAGGAATCCTCATTTCTTTTCCAAAAGGAATTTTAAATTTACTTTGTAAAACGAAGTAAAAGGAGCAGATTGGTCAAAGGGCAGGATAGCCCAGAGGACAGGAGATAATGGCCTTTATGTTAGAATTAGGATATCTATCCTGGATTCAATGCCACAATTAAGCACTTTCCAAAATACATAAACCAACAAAAAATTAAATAAAGGGACAAAGGCAGTGGAAACAGAGAACTTCGACTTCTACAAAGGCAAGTCATTAGCACCTCATCCCACTGTGGCCTTCTGAGATCAGAGCTTTTCATTCTGCTCAATTCCAAGATAAATAAGAGAGAAGCTATGTGGCAGAGATAGCCCAGCCTGATTCTTGTATAAGTGTTATGAAACATCCAAACTTGGAAGTAACTCTGCAAACAACTATATAGCAGATGTTTGGAAAATGTCTGTGAAAAATGGTCTCAAAGCACAGATAAAGCTCATGAGGGAGCAAATGCTTCTGAGAAATTGCTACTGGTGAGACAATCCAGACTCCCCTGGTGCTGGAAGTCAAGCCATCACTCCAAGCCTTTGGGCGAGCAGCTCTTCACCCTTTTTGCTGCCCTCTCTTTGTAGCCATGGCCCAGGCAGTGACAGGCCTCAGTCCCTGTGAACCCCATAAAGCTGCAGGTGGAGAGAGGGCAGGATCCCAAATGCCTGCAGCTCCCTCAGCCCCCCTGCTCCATGAGGAATGTTGCTTTACCCTGCCATGCTCCATGCTAAGGACTGGCCAGGATCACACACCTCAGCATTGCTCCCCAGCTGATCTCCACATCCTCTCACTGGTGCCAGCACTATCCCGGCCCAGTTTTAGGCAGTTTGCCCTGCTCCTTATCCACCCCCCGTAGTTAAATCTGTGGCAGTGGTGTTCTAGCAACTCTGCCCCATCAGCTTTGTACCTGAAGGTGGAGTCACCGACTTCAGGGCCTGAAAGGGATTTATAGGAGACTTCGGTTTACAAAAGCCTGCCCCTGCCCTGACCTCCCCCAGATTCCTCCCACCAACGACTGTAGTGTTTCTAAGTCTTCTTTTAAGAGGCAGTGCTGCTGGGGGAGGGAGGGCGCTCAGGGATTTAGGCAGCTCTTTCTCTTCCCAGCATCATCTCCATGGCCCACCCCTCCCTTCCCCTCTCATGTGATGCTGGGGAGAGCTGCTGAGCCCTGCACTGTCCAGCAATCCCATTATTCTGCCATCAACCCTTTTATTCTCAGATTCCCAGTCAGGCAGAAAACAAGGATGACGGAATCTGCCTGGAATCTCTGTGGCAATTAGAGTGGAAGCCCAGGAAACTATTCGCAAAAGAGCTTTACTAGGCAGCAGATATGAGCCTTTGTAGGCTTAATGAGTAACCGGCCCCTGCCTGCACTTTCCGGAGGCCAGGAGCACAGTTTGGGACAAAAAAAGGAGTCTGGTGCATGTTGGGAAGGAGCTGCAGCACACTCCATCAGCAAAGAAATTCCCATTTCCACAGAATCCCCAGGCACTGCTGGCATAGCCAGGCCGAGTCACTGCCAAAGCTCATGTGTGGCTTTCTGCTTCCATGAGAAGAACACAGGCAAAATGCGCTTTTGCAAATAAAGCTAAACATCAGAGCCCTTTGCTATTTCCTGCCTTTCCCAAAGTTCTTTCACAACAGACACACCTTTTTGTACCTTTTCTGGTTTGGTCCATCATATAGCTCAACCACAGACAGCACAAAGCTTCACTAATAAGTGCAAAGACAGCAGTGAAGGAACAGGGAGAGCTCTGGTCTCCTCAAAACTCACTGTGACCATGAACAATAGCACTGGTTAATAGATGTACTTCAGCAGAGCAGCATTTTGGAGGAAAATGTTCATTTTCTGGAACAGATGTCCTGAAGTAACATGGCAATACTCACAGGGCATGCATGGAGCAGGCTGAGGACAATGCAGTGTAAATCACAAGAAATACAACTTATCTAAATAACTGCAAATTATTCTGTGAACTGCAGCTGGCAGAAAATCCCCCACGTGTTTGACTGCCTCAGTGGAGGCTTCAGGCTCACTCACAGCACAAACCCCACACTGTATCACACAGTCCCCCGTACCCAGCACGCCTGTACTAATATGGAATATTTCCCAAGGACAAAACATGGCCCTGTGAGAACGTATTCCAACCCTAATACTCTTTCCATGGCAGTGCTGAACGTCTGGCTTGACAAAGAGCACATCTGATGATTTTATTCTTTTCAACCATCAGTCCTAGGGCATACACTTACTGTTCTCAGTTTTGGAATAGATTAATATATGAATGTGAATAGCACATTAATATGCACCAAATGCTAATAAGAAAAATGAATAAATTAGTTTTTCCGGCTGCACAATATTACAACCATGAAAACATGTAGTTCAGATCATGCTGTTTCATGAATACTGTGAAAATCAGGTCAAGGAAATCACTGAATGACAAGTTTCTAGTTTTTCACCAAAGTAGTTGTTGCTGGATTAACAGTGACATTTTGAAGTTTTCCTTTATGTTTCATAAGAAAAATACAAATTAGTGACATTTGTAAGGAAAAAAAAAATTAGAAGTGTATTATAATCATACCACCCTGCAAGCCTATGCTGAATTAAAACTGGAGGAGACCACAGCTCCTTTGAAGAACAGTTCCAGACATTTAGGGGTGGATTAGGAGGAACTTCAAAGGCTACCAGAGTCCCATATAAAGCATTCATTGAGCTCTGTCAGGACAGGGCTGGTTTTACACTTTAAAGGTAGCTGACAAAGATTTTCCCGAAGCCATGAGGTTTGTGACCTTTTGTAACACTTTAAGGCAAACAAGCCATATTACCAGGCTCTGTTTTAATAATTCACTTTAATAATCTATGTGAACTATGTGATCTTGTCAAAGTTAGACCAAGTATTTTGACCACAAAAAAATCAGAAATTAATGACAAGTTAGGCAATTATTTCTGTGATTGGAGATGCTGCTTTAGTATTACTCACAGGCTTCTATTTTGGGGGTTTGGTTTTCACAAGTTTGTTTTCTCAAAGTCTCGGGTGACTGATAGAGGATGGATGTAGTCAATCTGCAGACACTCCTGACCTTGTGGAAGCTGCTCAGTGCTGCACTGATAACTACCTTAAAGGTGTCTTACTGATCACTTAAAATTCCAGCAGGGAAGAGGCAGCACTGGGTTCTCAGCTCGCAGTTTCCTTTTGTACTGAAGGACAGAACAAAAACCAGAGCAGAGGCAGAGGTACCTACGGGAGATCCCCCTCCCTGAATCCTGCCCATGCACATGGACATGGTGAAGTATGAAAATGTACCATCACCTGTGCACAACAGTCACAACCACAGACACAGCTCCCAGAAAAGTCAGGCTGCCAGAATGTTATTTCCTGGTCTAGTAAATCTGAATATGAGCTTGGACAAGCCAGATCCACCTCAAGTGGAAAGAAGCTTCTTCAGATGTTTTTCACCTGCCCTATTCAGTATAATGAAAAAAATCCCAATTTACAACCAAGAGGTGAGAACAGCAGGATTCTCAGAGCACACAGGTCCCAGCTGCACCACAACAATCACAGAGCTTGAGGGATATCCAATTTCCAAAACCACTGGTCAAACCCCAGCCTGGGGCAATTCTCACCAGTCAGGCTGCGCTCGCTGTTCCTGCTGCTCATCCCAGCACACCTCTCACTGGAGAATGATCCTAAGGCCAAGAGTAGAAAGGGAACCCTTCCACCAGAAGGAATTCAGAGCAACACAACTACTAAATAAACTCTGAATAAAGAGGAATAAAGGAATGGAGAGTTAGGTCTCCATGACAACAGGAAGGCATGTGCTTATATTAGTAAATCCCTGCTGACCTCTGCTGATCTTTCCCTGTCCTGGTCAGTGTAAAGGATTAGTGAAAGGGGA